AGTTGGGCATTGCATCGTGATGGCAGAGTTCTTTGCAAATTAATTTTAGGAAGTCATTTGAATCAACGTTTTTTTTTATATTTTCTAGAATTTATTCACTTTTATACCTGGTAACTTGATTTATTGATTTCGTTGAATCCCAAAATTTCTGTAAATTATACCAGAACCTTAATAACACACCGAATCACAAGAAACTTGTGTAGATAAGAGAGAACAGAGAATTTATAATTAGAAGCTTGGGATTACCCTATATATTTTCAATATAAGAGTTGTCTAACTTGGGCTTGTTTCTAGATTTTCTTTTTTTAAGTTTGTTCTATGATTTGAGTGTTCCAGGAGAACTTATATATTGAGCAATCAAAAATAAGAAAAATATAGAGCAACGATTATGGTTCTTTGCTATAAATACTTTAGATGTGTAGCTTAATTACATTAAAATGATCACAGCCTGTCTGCTTGAATCCATGGTTAAGTTGCTGAATTGATTATAGGAAGTCACCGACCTATAATGAATGGCTATTTTGATTAGGAAAAAGTCGCTAACTTACTAGAAAGTATACTGCCAAGTAACTTCCAATTTTGAGCAAGGACGCTTACATTTGCTCTGAGTATGCTTGATCTTAGGCATGCACACCTAAATGTTCAATGAATCGAGTAGGCTGTTGTGTGCTCATCAGAATTCTGACAAGTTCAAAATTGTTATGGTCAGCTCATCATTTTTCAAATTTTCTTACTCGACTAGGTTATCGAGAACCGAGCCAATTGGCTTGAATTAGGTTTTGAAGATATTTGAATGTACATTCTATACAACATTTATCTTGGAAGAAATACAAATAAAAATCATAATCATCCCATTTTTTTTTTTATAATTTATTATCACTTTTGTTTTCCTCTTTGAAAGAATCACATTTCTCTTTGCCGAATTCATTACTCGTCTGTCTTTGGGAGATGAATTAGTAAATTATTTATAAAAAATAGTAGTCAATATTAAGTGTATTGTCATAAATTGATGGTGGTGCTTGATTGTGACAGCGCTGTCTTTTGGGTTATGTGAGCATTCATAAGTTTATAATAATGGGTCTGTTACATTCATTTAACCGCTTTGTAACCCTTTTACATTCTTCCCATAAAGCTTTGCAAATTTTTTCAAGATGATTAGTATCTCAAAGGAGAAGATTGCTATTGGAAAATTGGAAATGGTTGCTGGGGATATTAAAAAACGTTAAAAAGAGAAAAAAGAATAAAAAAAGATCAAATTTTTAGGAAAAAATTGCAAATGCAGAAATTAAGATTGGAAACTATTGAGTAAGGATATGAGATCTTTGGTTACCTTGATTGAATCAACCATTTGTTTTGGTGTACCCATGAATGTTTCTCCAACTAAATATTTGTCAATTCAGTTACAAATTGATTTTGAAAATTTTTTGTACTCATCTGCATAAAATATTTTTTATTTATTGATTTTCTATTTGTTAAAGCTAATCCAACAACTCCAATTAATCTCTTCATGAAGCCTTCTTCTTCAGTTGCTTTAAATAATCCACTTGCTGAGCTGATTGTTGAAAATATTATAGTTAAAAAGTGAACTTATGTAATCTTTTGCTTACAAAGTTGTTGATTTAGGAGATTTTTTATGAATTACTTAAGTGATATTGTAGTTAGTTATTCAATGAATTAAATTTTAAATAAAGATTAGGAAAATTCTGCGATAAGCGTCAATTATAAATCTATGTTAAGTACTTCATCTTAGAATTCCTTTTGGGTTAATTATATTCTACAAATTATGTAGCAACTTCTCTATTTCTATTTAAAAAATTATCTCCTTTAGAATCGTATTTTTGTGGGCGGTGATTAAATCTTATTGTTGATATTATTTTACCAAAGCCTCTAGAGAAAACAACTATACTCATTGTTGAGGAGAACCTTAGATCTCCTTTAAATTTGAACGACAGCTGTTCTCGTCATCTCCTTTCCCATCTTTTCCCACCTGGTAATCTTGTTACCGCCCTCCCCCTTTCTTTGCCTCTGCAAATTTTACAAGGAGTTCTTTCTTAGATCGATGGCCGCTAGCTTCACCCTCTTATTTTGGACACTTCTTTGTACTCAAATATTCTTTCAGCTGGTCGTAGCCATTAAATGAAATTCTTTGGATCCATACCCCCATGGAACTCTGGTAGGTCTACATTTATTCCAAAATCTCTATGTCCTCCATACACTGTCTCCTTTCTCGTTCTCCTATGATATGAATTTTGAAACATCATGGCCCGTCCTCCTCATCGTTGAAGCCCTCCCTATGGAAAGGATTCAAATCCTTGTCCCTCTCACCCCTTCAACTCTCCATATCTCGGTTGAGAATAATCTTCCCCTGGGTCCCATCATCAATCTTTGCAAGTTTTTCTTGAAGTCTACGGATCTCTCGCTGCATCTCTTTCTGGGTAGGTTCCGACATGTGCCTTCTTGGTATAATGGCTAGGTTTGGGAATTGGAAGAGAGTATTTAAGGGTATGAAAGAAATTTTTGATGGAGGTGGCTTGGGTATGAAGGATGCTAGGAAACCCTGGGAAAAAATTAGGGTCAGTCTAGCTTTGATACTAATTGATGCCGGAGTTAACCCATATCAGAACGGAAATGCAAATATTAATACTGAATTTCAGATGTATTACAACAAATACTCTTAAAACTAAGAATAAAACGACTCAAACAAACAACACCCTAGAGTGATGTCGAAATAATGCATCCACCATCTGTCTGTGGAACAATAGGAATGAGTGTCCCGGACCCACCATCCTCTTCACTTCCATCATCAACAGAACTATAAACTGTCAGTAATAGTGCATCATGTACTTCTTCAGATACCACATTTGCGCTATCATTCTCCATCTTCTTGGAATTCCTGTAGTTTCTTTTTATGTGACCAGCTTTGTCACAATTTCAGCAGGTTGCTTGCTGACCAGAATTTAATTTTGATCTCCCTCTATTTGAGTTCATGTCATGTCATCGCCCTCTGAAATCAACATTCAGTGTCGAACTCGTACCTGAGATCTCTTCAGAATCCTTTCTGCGAACTTCCTCAGCCAAAATCAAATCACGAATATCATCGCATTTCAGTTTAGATTTTCCCGCAGAACTGCTAACTGCCACCCTCACGGCTTCCCAACTATTTGACAACGATGCCAACAATATCAGCTCACCTATCTCATCATCAAAATCAATTTCAACAGACGACAATTGATTAGTGATAGTATTGAAATCATTCAGATGTTGAACAATGAAAACACATTTCGCATCTTCAAGTTGAATAACTTCTTCATCAAGTACACCTTGTTATTCGCCGATGGCTTTTCATACAACCTGATAAGGCTGTCATGAGATTTGCAGTCGTCCTCTCTTTGACGATGTTGTGTGCAATGGACCTCGATAGGGTCAATCGAATAACCCCCCAGAACTTCTTGATCCCTGAAACCTTCATTTCATATGCAGTCATCATTCTTCCTCAGATCCGAAACAGAGACTCTGATACCAGTTGTTGCGGTATATATATATATCTATATCTA